CATTCTGGAGTTTGGAGGGAAAAGCTCAGCTACAAATATTTTTGGAGTATTTCTCAACCTAGAGGTAGTATTTAAAGCCAGAGATCATCAAGGGAATGAGAGTAGATGGAAAACAGTCCAAGAGATTGGCCTAGGGCACTCCAAAGTTTAGAACCTCCCTCAATTTTAAGGAACAAATACTTTAAGGAAAGACTGTGGGCTGCAAAACGTGCTGGAAGACCTGGCTTGAGAAAGCCTCTTTGATGGGGTTAATGTGGCTGCCAGAGTAAGAACGGTTGAGAGTGAAAGTGTTAGCGCGTCCAGGTCAAGAACCACTGTCCTCAAAATGCTTTCACCAGGGTATCCCAAGTTTTCAAAAGAGTTGTCTGAAATGCAAATTTATGTCATGATTAGCTGATTTACTTCGTACCCCTAAAAGCTATGTAAAAGAATTACATGTCTTTGTAAGAGTTGTTCCTAATATTTACTAAAGTTTGAAAACATTGTCCAATTTTGCAGACACTGTTTCCAAGAGATTTTTGGGATTTTGGAGAGTTTGCTTTATAAGATGTATTATTCATCATTTTGATCTTAATTTGAGAGTAATATGTAATGGCTTTAAGGCATTTTGTCTTTTATACTTATAAGCATGCCTTATTTTATGTATGAAACATTTAAAAAGATCAAGTATAATAATAGTATATTTTTGGAATCTAAGAACATTCTCTAAAGATGGGGTTGGTATTTAGGGGAATCCGATCAGTCAATGGTGTCCTCAATGTCCTGTCCCACCACAGCCCAATAGGGTCAGTGCTGTAACTGGGCACACATCAGAGGTCCAGGCCTGACTCTCAGCTCTAGCATTTCTTAAAACATTGTGGAGAGAGTTTCCTTTTATATACAACATATAATTATCCAAAAAATGGTGCCAATGTGTTTTTCCAAGCATACATATACTCAACCCCCTCCTTCTAAACCTCTTCCATATCTCATGTCTAATCATTTCTCCTGGGTGGGTGCCCTCCCTCCTCACTGAACACCCCTCCCACAGGGATGCCTCATTCCTAGGCTCTGGAAAGGAGCCTAGGAATCTGATCCCCACACTGCTGGAGGAAGTTCATGGATTCCTAGTCATCCTGTCAATATCCCTCACCCTCCAGACTCCATGCTGTGTGTGTTCTTGTTCCTCAAATAGCTAAAGTTGTGCTGATCTATACCTGTCACCAGCTCCTTATTCAGAAGTTGGAAATCATCCATGCCCACCTAAAAATGTCTATAAAATGGTTGTCATCATCTCCCACCCCCTGATCCTAACTTATAAGCAAATCACCATTTTGAGCTAATGAGTCAGAAAGAAAGAAAACATACAATAATGGAGACCTAAGTAGGTAAAGAATCTTGAGAAGAGAGCACTGAATTTTTTCAAAGAGAAAACAAATTTATTGTCTTTCCCTTCTGGCCTATGGACTTATATTCTGCTAACTGAAGTCTCTAAGCAGGGTAGATTTAGCCAGTCACCAGCATAAAAACATCCTCTGTGTCACCATCCACACACAGGGGTTCTGGTAGGGGAACTCATGCAAGTCCTCCATGTTAATACTCATCTGAAAATGGATAATCAGGGTGGCCAGTAAGACTGAAGACAGAAAGAATAATGCATGATATAAATTGCAATGATTTCATTACTGGGGGGTGCACAGTGATTTCTAGGAAGCTGCCATTAGTTTGGATGTTAAGAAATTCATATTCTGATTGCTGGAGAATCTGCACTTTTTTATGAGCATGACTTTATAGTATCTGTATTACCAAAATAATGAATTATTCAATTCTACTCCCCTTCCTGGAACTTAACACATGAAACACAAAGTGAGTCAGGTGCAGTGGTTCACGCCTGTAATCCCAGCACTTCAGGAGGCCAATGTGACTGGATCCCCTGAGGTCAGGAGTTTGAGACCAGCCTGACTAACATGGTGGAACCCCATCTCTACTAAAAAATACAAAAATTAGGCAAGTATGGTGGCAGGCATCTGTGATCCCAGCTACTTGGGAGGCTGAGGCACGAGACTCATTTGAACGCAGGAGGAAGAGGTTGCAGTTAGCTGGGAACACACCATTGTACTCCAGCCCGGGCAAAAAGAGCGAAACTCTGTCTCAAAACAAACAAACAAAAACACACACACAGTTAAATGTTCAAACATATTCCTGTACTTCTGCCTAGAGAGCAAAAAGTCATTCTGACCTTTTCTATTTCAAATTCTCAATTAAAGTAAGAACTCTTTCTGCCCTACTTTGAAGAAGAGGTAACTTATATGCTCATCACTAATAAATAATTTTGAGTGTGAATGGCTACTGGTAGCAATTAGGCTGTCCTTTATTACTTTATTTATTACCTAGTGCCTGCCTACCATATGAAATATATTTGGTTAGTTTCAGAAATGTAAATACCCAATACCAAAATACCCAATGTTCTGAGTTTAACTATTTAATAGATTATGAAGAGAAAGGCTGGCAGTCCTACAAAAAGAGGAAATGGGTATCTCCTTACTCATTCAAATGGTTGGACAAGGGCATCGTTCCTCCTAGACCAAATATGATTCATCCTATAGTTATCCTGGAACATCCTGAATTGTAGAGGTCGGCTGCAGTCATGTCCTGAATCAGCTTATGGAATGTAGCTTATCAAAAACTTCTTACAAATACCAAAATAAACACGTGTAAGATCACTTTAATGTCTGAAAAGGTGGTACCCACTAGGAGCTGTGTTAAGCCACCATATATGTTGTTGGTTGGAAACATAATTATCACCCCGATAGTCAAACTATTGAATGCAATAATTGCAAATTGTTTACGTGCATTGATGCTACATTTGATCCAAAAACAAATGTTCTCCTGGTCAGGGTCAGGGAATGGGTATGGATACCAGTTTCTTTACACTGCCCCTGGGAATTCTTTCATTCTATTCATATAGTCAATGAAGTCCTTAAAGGGATTCTTAAGAGAACTAGGAGATTCATTTTTACTCTCATTACCATGATTGCAGGTTTAATTGCTGTTACTACAACAGCGGGTACTGCTGGAGTAGCCATTCACAACTTGACCCAGACCACTCATTATACGGAAACAAGGCAAAACAAATTCCACTAGACTTTGGAATTCTCAGGCTCAGATTGATCAAAAACTGGCCAATCAAATTAATGATCTCCGCCAGAGTGTCATCTGGTTGGGAGACAGAATGATGAATTTAGAACACTGAATGCAACTACAATGTGATTGGAATACTTCTGATCATTGCATAATGCGTTATGCTTACAAGGAAGATCAATATAGTTGGGAAAAAGTCTAAAGGCATCTAAAAGCCTGGGATGATCATTTAACCCTCAACATTTCAACACTGAAGGAGCAAATTTTTGAGGCTTCCCAGGCTCATTTAACTACCGTTTCTTGTTCTGACATATTTGAAAGAATTACAAAAGGACTATCTGATCTAAATCCTTTCAAGTGGATCAAACCCATTGAAGGTTCTCTTTTGTTATTGGCATTACTAATACTGGTGTGTTTATGTTGTTTACTTTTAGTCTGCAAGTGTCTCCACAGAGTCTGACAAAAAGCTCGAAGCCAGCGACAAGCAATGATGGCAATGCCAATCCTAATCAATAAAAAGGGGGGAGATGTGGGTGAAAGATTACCCAGGTGCTGAGGCAAGAGACTGAAGGCACAAACTGTTTCAGTGTAATAAAGAAAATAGTTAGAATAAGAATAGTTATAATACAAATTAGATACAGAAAGGATCATGGACATTATCAATAATTAGTATAAACATTATTAATCATTAGCTTTTAATTTTACTCTTTGTTGTATTACTAATATAACCAAGGAATAACCAGCGGGTATAGGGTCAGGTGCTGAAGGGACACTGTGAGAAGTGACCTAGAAGGCAAGAGGTGAGCCCTCTGTCATGCCTGCATAAGGTCTGCTTGAGGGCTCCTTGGTCAAGCAGTAATGCCAGTGTCTTGGAAGACACCCATTACTTAGCAGACCAGGAAAGGGAGTCTCCTTTCCTTGGAGGAGTCAGGGAACACTCTGCTCCACCAGCTTCTTGTGGAAGGCTGGATATTATCCAGGCCTGCCTGCAGTCATCCGGAGGCTAAACCCCTCCCTGTGGTGCTGTGCTTCAGTGGTCACACTCCTTGTCCACTTTCATGTTCCTCCCATACTCTTGGTTCCTCTTTGAAGTTCTTAGTAGATAATGGTAGAAGAAATAGTGAAAGACTTAAAGTCGTTGATATTTCTTATAAGTGCATAGAAGAAAACATTGACCTGTGCTGCCTTCCCTCTCTGCTTCGGCTACCTAAAAGGGAAGGGCCCCCTGTCCCATGATCACATGACTTGCTTGACCTTATCAATCACTTGGATGACTCACCCTCCTTACTCTGCCCTTTGTCTTGTATGCAATAAATATCAGTGCGCCTAGCCATTCGGGACCACTACAGGTCTCTGCATCTTGGTGGTAGTGGTCCCCTAGGCCCAGCTTTTTTCTCTTTATCTCTTTGTTTTGTGTCTTTGTTACTTACAATCTCTCATCTCCACACATGGGGAGAACACCCGCAAAGCCCCATAGGGCTGGACCCCACACTATATACACACAGATGGCAAGAGATTAAGGGAAGAGACACACACTAGGCCATCTAAGCTACGGAAGAGAAACTAGAATGTGGATTTTTGAAATAGTAAGGTATTTAAAAACCATTGGTTATTTGGGAAAATAAAAAAAAGTGTACACACAGTAACAGTAAGTGCATGTTCAGAAAAGAACTGAGAAGGCCTTAAGGTTTTATGTAGGGCTGATACCAAGACTGAACATGGCAAGCAAAATGACTGGTGATAGTCATGATACAGAACAAATCCATATGGAGTGGGAAAGATGTTTATTTGTTCAAATACCTGTCAGGGTGATCAGACCCAACACCAGGTTGTGAGGGCAATGAAGTCTGGTGGAGTGAAAGGAATGAGAAAAAGACAGTTTGAGAGAGAAAGTGGGACCTGGGGGCCATCGTGAGTGTGGAGGCTGCCAAGGCCCTGAGCTCTGGGAGCCCATGCTATTTATTGGTGCTCAAACAAACAAACAAACAGGTGGTGAGGATGCGGGGGTTGAAAAGAAACAGTGTATCAAGTGAATGAGAAACATATGACTGCTTGAGATAACGGGAATGCTAGAAGCAAGGAGCCGGCAAGTCTAGCAGACCTGCAAGCCCTGGCTCAGCTTCTCTCCAAACACTCAGCTTTTCTCCCAACATGCCCCGCTTCTCTTTTTTGTAAAAACTGCTATAGCTTTCATTATTATTACCATAAGGTGGCCTCTTTTTTTAAATTAACTGAGCAAGGCAATTGCAGGCTGTGCAGCACTTAATTGCTGTTTAGTGATCCAGCTTCATTTTTCTTAGCCCTTATTCAAAATAGAGTTGCTCTGGGTTGAAGGCTTCTCACATATTCCCCCTTTCCCTTTTACAAGAGGACCCTTAATCCTAGGGGTTGCAGAAGGATGAAGGTCCGTCTTCTGTAACATCTTCATGCTGAGTAGGGGTAATGATACTCCTGCCTAACTATTAGGGTCTCTTGTATTCAGGATAGAGAGGAGTTCAGTCAGAAAGCACTGGTCCTTTAAGCATCTATAGGTAAAACCTTGGCAATCCAGCAGTTTCTCAGCATGGCTTATACTGGGGCAACCCAGTCCATGGTTGTACACATCTTGAGGGTACCTACATGGTTTGTTCATCTCCTGCAAAAATACAAGCATACCCTCACCTCCATGTTAGTAAATCTACTGAAACAGAAGCAAAAACTTCTGTGGCTGTAGCTGGGAGACATGCTATTGCTGAAGCATTGGTAACTCAGCGTCTGCCTCTTTGGTTAATTACTGTGGGGTAAAACTTACAATTGATAACGAGGAAAAGTCCGCTTCTAACAGAAGGCACAGAGAGAGCAAATCGATGCTTAAAAGTAATCCTTAACCCTTCAATTTGCACTGTACAGGTGGGTCCACTAGATGCTGGGGTTCATAATAGATCTTCAGATGTTCGGTGGGCACCCACACAGGTAACTGATTGTCACCTGGAGAGACACAAACAAATCATCTTCCCCATAAAATTATCTTTCCTTTTTCCCAGTCCTTTGTATGTGCATCCCTCACCCATATATCTTGTTCAGGCTTTTTATTTTCCTTTTGTCCTGTCAGGTGTTGTTCAGCTGCAGGTCATGGGTTGAATCACAGGATTAACAGCCCTTAAATCTGTTAACATTCTCCATTTCCCTGATTTTTTCTTAATGACAAATACAGGAGAATTCCAAGGGGAGAAAGTAGGCTCTGTATGTCCCTTTTGCAATTGTTCCTGTACCAGTTCTTTTAAAGCCTCCAGGTTTTCCCGTTTAAGTTGCCATTGCTCCACCCAAACCGGTTTGGCAGTTAGCCAAGCAAGAGGAATGGGAGCTGGAGGCTCAACAATGGCCGTTCCTAAAAATGACACCCCAATCTGGTCCGATCTGTTTGCCCTTGTAATTCTAAAGGTTCTGATTGGCCTTTTTTATCTTTTCCTAGTCCTTTTCCCAGGTGATATCCCGTATTTTTCATCATTTGTCTACTATTATTACCATATTGATCTGTAGGAATAGATATTTCAGCATCCCATTGTTGCAATAAGTCTCTACCCTATAAATTGACAGGAATAGGTGTAATGATTGGCCGAATTGTCCCTTCCTGACAATCCCACCCTTGACGTGGTAAAATCAAGGAACTCTGAAAAACTTCCGAGGCAGCTCCTACTCCAACAATACCAATGGATGCCTTTCACTTAGGCCAGTGCTGGGGCCATTGATTTGTAGCAATAATAGAGACATCAGCTCCAAATATCTACCAGTCCTTCAAAATCTTTTCCCTGAATAGTTACTGTGCAAATAGGTCTTTTTTCAGACACTTGATTAACTCAATACACAGCCTTTCCTGCTGGATTAGTACTACCAAAGCCTCCTGTTCTTTTCACTGTGCTGCTTCCTAGTTTTATGTAGGGTAACAGCCACAACTGAGCAATTCTTTCTCCTGTGGAGGCAGACCATGGAGGGACTAATAACTAATTGAATTTATCCGGTATAACAAGAGTCAATTATTCCCGTATGCACAGTGACACCTTTTAAATTTAGACTAGACCTTCCAAGTCATAGACCAACTATTCCTGAGGGTAAGGGTCCCCTAACTCCCGTGGGGACCTTCTTTGGTGACTCCCCAGGAAGGAAGCAAATGGGAATTGTGCTGTAGAGATCTACAGAGCACTTCCTGCTGAGGTGGAAGATAATTGTACATTTGTAAAGGCATTTGCTGTGATGGGTATGCCTTGGTTTGTTGAGGGGCCCAAAGTGGGCCCTTCTTCCCATTTCCTGAAAGAGGTTGTCTATCTTTGCCAAATTTAGAATGACACTAACTTGCCCAGTGATTGCCTTTCTTACACCAGGGACATATAGTGGGACTTTTCCGTTGATTGATGGTACTAGTTCTTGCCTTTTGATTTCCTTTTCTACATTCCTTTCTTGTGCGTCCAAGTTGCCCACAATTAATGCAAAACCCTGAGAAATGGGGCATATTCTTTCCTACTCTTAATCCAGCCATAGCCTGAGCTAAAAGAGTAGACTTATGTAAGTTACCTCCAATGCCACTGCAAGCCTTAATACATTCAGCTAAACGAGCCTTCCCTCTCAGGGGTCTAATAGCAGTTTGACACCCTGCATTAGCATTATCATATGCAAGAAGCTGTATTACAACATCCAGAGTCGTTTTATCAGTTATGACTTTCTACACAGCCTCTTGGAGCTGAGCAATAAAATCAGCATATGGTTCTTTAGGTCCTTGTCAGACAGAACTGAAAGAAGGATATTGTTCTCCTGTAACATTTATCCTTTCCCATGCCCATAAGCACACGAAGTGCAGCTGAACAATGGCAACATCCTCCATTACTGCTTGATTCTCCAATCGACCCCAATTAGGGACAACTCCCGTTAACGGTTCAAAGGAAACAGGTACAGGTGGCTGTGTTTGTGTGTTTTCCCTTGCCTGAGTTTGAGCTTCATTAACCCACCAAGTTTTAAACTGTAAATACTGAGACAGAGTGAGAATGGATTTTGTCAAAGTATCCCAATTATATGGTATTAATCTATTATCAAGAGCCAAATTTTTAAAATAAAGTTTGCACAAAAGGAGAGTTTGGTCCATATTGACTAATGACTTGCTTAAATTCCTTTAGTAACTTAAAAGGAAAAGTGACCCAATTAGCTATAGTCTGTCCTCCATGCTGAATTATAGTAATGGGAAAATGCCATGTTTCAAGGTCTCCCTCGGCTCTAACTTTTTGAATAGAATTTTCTACAGCACCACCCATTGCCCCAGGTTTTATTGTTGCAACTACAGGAGCAGTAAATTTTTCAGCTAATTTATTTTCTCCCCCATTAAGGGGAGAGGGAGGAGGTGGCCATTCACTTAATTCAGCAGGTAGAGCCGACAGGCTAGTAAAACATACTTTCTTTAGTTTTCCTTTCTTTTCTTTAATCTCCTCTGGTAGCTGTTCCTCACACTCAGAATCTGAAGTTAGTTTTTACACTCGTCCTCCTCTTCCTTATCTGAATCTGCCTCATTATCTGTTTGAAATGGCTCAAGACCTGTCTTTATTAACGCCCACATTAACCAAATGGAAACTGGAATTTCTGCTCCCTCTTTATACACCTTTTTAAAATCTCTTCCAATTCTCTCCCATTCATCTAACTCCATAGTCCCTTGTTCAGGAAACCATGGGCAAAACTGCTTTACTGTACTAAAGAGTGATAACAAATTCTAGTACTAACCTTCACTCCCACTTTTTGTAATAAACGCCTTAAGAAATTTAAATAGGCAGAATGTCTGCTTTCACTTTGTCCCATTGTTACCCTGGTTCTTCCGAGTGCTCAGCTTTCCTGCTGAGCTTCTTTTAGACCTCCTCGGGTGTCCTTTGATGATGCATCCTCTGCTTTCATATGCTCTAGCTTTCCTTCACCAGGGTCTTCATCACCCCACATTAGGTAGCCAGGAATGTTGGGATGATCAGACTCAACACCAGTTCATGGGGTTGACGAAGTCTGGCAGAGTCAAAGGAATGAGAAAAAGACAGTTTGAGAGAGAAAGTGGAACCTGGTGGCCATCCCGAGTGTGCAGGCTGTGAAGGCTCTGAGCTCTGGGAGCCCATGCTATTTATTGGTGCTGAAATAAACAAACAAACAGGTGGTGAGGATGTGCGTGTTGAAATAAACAGTGTATCAAGTGAATGAGAAACATACGACTGCCTGAAATAACGGGAGTGCTAAAAGCAAGGAGCCAGCAAGTCTAGCAGACATGGAAGGCCTGCCTCAGCTTCTCTCCCAACGCTCAGCTTTTCTCCCAATAAATACTCAATTAAATAAAATAATAAGACATACAAAGAAATAGAAAAATATAGTATATTATAAGAAAGAAAATCAATTGGCTAAAATCATTCCTGAAGAGCTACAGATATTGAAATTCTAGAAGACTTACACAACTGCAATAAGTATACTAAAATTGCTAATGAAAAAATGTGGAGAAAACTGTCAGAAATCTGAGACAACATATAAAAATGACAATATGATTACTGATACAGAAATTATTTTTTAAAAAAATGTTGGAACTGAAAAATATAACTGAATTGAAAAACTCACTAGAAGGTTTCAACAGCAGATTTTTGGCAATATGAACATATAATTAACATATGTAGTGATAGAACATTTAAAATTCTTGAGTTGGCTGCTCTCACAGTTTGGAGCTTAAGACCTGTGGCTTTTCCTGGCTGAAGTTGCAAGCTGCTAATAGATTTATAATTCTGGAATGTTGAGGGGTGAAGCCTTGCTCCCACCGCTTTGCTATGCAGTGCACCCATGGGGATACTCCACAGAGCTCCAACCACATATTTCTACTTAACATTGCCTAAAAGGAGCTCTCTGTGGGGGCTCCAGCCTTTCAGCAGGTTCCTGTCTGGACATTCAGGATTTCTAATACATCCTCTGAATACTAGGTGAAAAGTGCCAACCCTCAACCACTCATGTACCACAAAGGGCTCGGGCTCCAAACTCTCCTCATCTGTTTCTCTCTCTCTACTCACGATTTCCTCCAGTGACCAGGTGTGTCTCCTGTCCCTTCCCAAGGCTCAAAGGACAAGGCGGCTAGCACATGGGGGCTTCTGTCTGACTAGCATAGGTTTGCGGAATTGATAAGAATTCCAACTTTCCACAGCTGGTATACAATCTGGTGAAAAAATCTGATCTCAGGAGACCACAGGAATTCTCAGTCTTATGAGAGGAACATGAAGACAGGGACAGGGGGGCCAGCACTCACCCTGAAACTAAAATAAATTTTAAAATAAATAAATGCAAATTTATATTGGCAGCAGTGTTTGTCCTGAGGAGGTTCCCTGTTTTGTTGACTCAATTCTCTGGGTTGAGAGGTTTCTATGTGAACAATAAGGGGTATACTTGAACCTCACAGAGGTTTGTGGGTGAGGGCTATGGAGGCTAACATTCAGGTTTGCATTCATTGGCCGGAAACAGTCAGGCAGCAGAAGCTGTGCAGGGAGAACCAGAGAACAGGTATGCTGTGGAGGAGGAGGAGGCACTGTTGATACCCTGGGAGGAATTTTTGGAAAAAACCAGCGGAAATTCCTAAGAATATATAGAAATTTTAGTATATAACACTGGATAAAATTTACAACTAATGAAATTTAAGTAAAACCAATCTTGCTCACAGTGTTTTCATGAATGAACTCTGTCTGAAGAGATAACTGTCCAGAACGTTGACTCACAATAAGTGGTGGATTTCCTGAAACCTTTTTGAGATCCTGCCTCTTCTGCACTTTTTGTTATTTTAATATTTAGCAATACTATAGTCAACCCCAGCAATCACTGGGGCTCGTAAGCTTTAATTATGACTCAGCAGTTTAATATATTCTGACTAATCTGGATTACTGGGAAAAATGCAGGGAAATTTTAAAGATAATTATTAACTTTTATGTTGTTTTGGTTAGCCTAAACCATGTCAAGTAAACAATTTATGAGTTAATTTAATTTAATAGAAATCTGTTACGATCATAACAAGAAGTCTGAGGAGGGCAAGTTCTAAGTGCTGTCGCAGGTCAGAACTCATCTTCTCCACAGCCTCTTATTCTTCTTCTGTGTATTGATGTTATCTTCAGGCTGGGTGGAGGCTGCTGAAGCAATTTCAGAACTCACGCTGCAGCAGGACAAGATCTACTTGCAGAAGAAAGGCCACCTTATTTTAAAATTTCTTCCTGAAGTGAAAGTCTTTCCTAGAAGCGCCTAGCACAGAGTCCCTCTTATGTAGCATTGGCTAGGACTGGATCTGTAACTCTCTTCCCTGTAACCCCGCATGCCAAGGGCAGAAAACTGACATAGGTATTTCTAAACAGAACCTTTACATGCAGAACCCATGTCATTAGATTACAATGCTGACCCCTAAAACCTAATAAAGAAATTGATGTATTCAAAAAAGTTAGACATTTTCAATATTGCATCTATTTCCAAATTGGCAGCAGGGTTTTAAAACAATAAAATAAATTAAAGTTAAATGTGAAACTGAAACTAAAATTACTATAAAAATAAGAAAAATTCTTTAGGTAAAAGTATAACAAATTTAAAAATAATTCAAGAGTATGATCCTCAAAGGCACAGGCCGGAGGGTAAAACCGGACATGCGGTGACAATTAAACAAATAAACTATATGTAAATCACGAAAGAAATAATCAAAAGGGTGAACAGACAACCTACAAAATGGAAGAAAATATTTACAAACTGTAAATCCAAAAGAAAACTAATATCAAAAATTCATGGCCAGGTGTAGTGGCTCACGCCTGTAACCCCAACACTTTGGGAGGCTGAACTGTGGATCTCACCTGAGGTCAGGAGTTTGAGAACAATCTAGCCCACATGGTGAGACCCCGTCTCTACTAAAACTACAAAAATTAGCCAGGAGGGTGACTCATGCCTATAATCCCGGTACTTGGTAGGCTGAGGCATGAAAATTGCCCAGCCCACCTGGGAGGTAGAGACTGCAGTAGACCGAGATTGTGCCACTGCACTCCAGCCTGGGTGACAGAGCAAGACTCCGTCTCAAAAAGAAAAGAAAATGATAAGAAACTTAACTAAACAACAACAACAACCCAAATAGCCTCTTTTAAAATGGGCAAAAGGCAGAGGTTCCCAACCCCATGCGCTTGGCGTACCTCTAGGAACTTGATGTCATTCCCACTGGGCCTTCCCTACCTCCTGCACATTGCTTGTGTCTGCCATTGTGTAACTGTGGCGGGCCTTCTCCTTGGCTAATCCAGGAAGATTAGATGGCTGTCTCACCTTCCACAGAGTCAAGATCATTGTCTTATTACACAGATAATTTCTCTCCAATTTAACAAGGATCAAATATATTACGCATGTAGTGAGGGCTTGAGTGTACAGTTATTTTGTCACCCAATGCAATCACTTGAATACAGAGTCCCTTTCCCAGTGTTTGTTTTTATTAATTGTCAGAAATCAGATGATTGTGATTGTGCAGCATTACTTCTGGGCTCTCTATTCTGTTTCATTGATCATGTGTCTGTTTTTGTACAAGTGTCATGCTGTTTTCGTTACTGTAGCTTTCCAATATAGTTTGAATTTGGGTAATGTAATGCCTCCATCTTTGTTCTGCACTGTGGCTATTAGACTCACGGTTCCATGTAAATGTTAACGCAAGTGTTTTTTCTAGTTCTGTGAAGAGATGTCATTGATAGTTTGATAGGAATAGCATTAAATCTGCAAATTGCTTTAGACGGTATGGCCATTTTAACAATGTTAATTCTTGTTATCCACTTGAGCATGGAATGTTTTTCCATTTGTTTGTAACCATCTCTGATTTCCTTTGTGACAGTGTTTTATAATTATCATGGTAGAGATATTTCCCCTCCGTGGTTATCTGTATTCTAGAGTATGATGCTCATTTTACCATTCCAACAATCCTAGGGCACACACACACATACACACAGGTACACACATATACATGGAGACATGCACACAGGCACACACACATACACAGGCATACACTTGCATACACATACACACTAGTATACACACATGCACACACACAGGCACACACAGATACACATTGGCCACCTATTTTTGACTAACAAAATAAATGCAGTCTAACACCCAACCTTCCCAGTTTCCATAGCTGAGGCCTACAGATCATTTATGATTCCTTTTATCCTTCGTTCCCAAGCAGTTTTCACATTGATGCCACAGGCATTTGGTAGTGCCCTCTGTGTGGCTGACTTATCAGCCTACAAGCAACGAAGTCAATGTGCTGGTGTCTCAGGCAGGGGTTATGCAAGAGCTGTGCCCTGCTCAGCAATATCAGAACCTTCGTGGGGAGTCTGAGAGGAGGAACGTTGCCACCAGCGGAGCAGCCAGATGCCGAAGCGAAGCCCGAAACCACTCCATGCATGTGACCAGCTAGATTCACCCATGGCACAGACCTCATCTCACCAAGCTGGCCTTGCCCGTGGGCAAAGTCAGGACCATAGCAAGTGCACACTGTCCCTCAAATTTCAAACAAGGAGTGGATTAATGACTCAATCTGAGAGATTGTACTTAGCAGGCTTCCCAGAAAGCAAACCTTGCAGGACAAAGGACCCCACAGCGCACAGTGGACCTGCTTCCTGTTCCTGCAATGCTTCGTTAATGAAACGCAGAGTGTTGAGAGGTTTTTGTTCACTTCCCACTTTTTTTACTGTATGAATTTTAAGCACACATGTATTAATTTTATTTTTGTCAGCCAGGAAATTATGGGACATTTTGTTCTGTTCTGTTCTCTTTAGCTCTGTTCTGTAGTTAGAGCAGTTAATAAAAGGTGGACATAACGTATGTAAGACTATGCTTAACTTATGCTTAAGTTTTCATAGTGGATGGGGCAATTAATTATGCATTGAAAAGAAACTGGCTCTGTCTGACAGCTGTTATTTATCAGGTGATCCTAGGATGTCATAGTTCTGCAGACTGAGCACATTGGTCTCTGTCATTCTGGGAGCAATCCCTCCAAAGCGACATCGGTCATTGATTTTTCAGTGATACTTTGGATACAGGCCTTAGACCCACAAGCACAATCCAGTGTCTACTTTGACATGCCGCCTAAACTGTCCTTCCTCATTATCTGATTTTTGGTGTCACAGTGGCCTCTTACATGAGAAAAGATTAGTTGGTTGATATTCTCTGGCTAATACTTTGATCCCAAGAATCTCACAGCAAAGAGTGCCACCAAAGTATTCACGTTGGCTTCCATTTACTTGTAGAATTTTGGCCATTCTCATATTTAACCAAGAATTTACTTGGGTGGCTCTGACTAGGAGTGGAAGATAAAGGCAGCCT